CTGAAACAAAAGAACAAGCAGAAGTGAAAGTCATATTTCCCTTCAGTAACTCAGTGACAGATTGATCACCATGAAGACGTGAAGCTGCTTGGACTTTTTCACACATGGAGGCGATACAGCAAAAAGATCGCCTCAGGGATCGGGGACATGTCAGAATGAAACACTTTCAAGTTGACTTTATATATGAGATCAGAAGCAATTTTTTCTTCACAGTATGACATTCGAGATGGCAGTAGCTTAAAGGTTACAATGGTGAACCAAGCGGTGGAAAAATAGGACTTTGGGATGTGACTGACGGCACCTTAGAGTGAAGAGAAGAATATCTTTTCTAAAAAGGAAGGCAAGTTTTAACCTTTATGCCAGATGGAAACATGAATATTGACTCTTGGCTTTCTTTCCAACCTTCACTGCTTTTAGATTATAACTGTAAGCAACTGCATAAATGTAGAAAGGTACACAGGAGGGTGTTTACTGTGGCAGAATATGTGTGCTCAGCAAACTCTCTGTGGTAAAATAAAACCAGAAAAAGATGCTATCAGCAGATGCTGCACAGGTTCAGCACTGTCACCCTTTCCGCCCCCCGTCAGTATTTATTGCCGCTATCTTTATCATGTTTGTTTTTGATAAAAGAGCTGAAAATAGCTGTAGACAGGAATAAAGAATCCTATGAGAATAAACTAGATATAATGGGTAATGTTATCTTTGACTTCAAAAAGAATAAAAAAAGATTTGAAGATTATGAAAAAGACAGTTTTAGGACAAAAGAAGTGTACAGCTCCACGCTGGCGGCCTAATTACAAGTTTGAAAGTGCCTCATGGAGGGAGCAAGCAGGAAATGAAGATGTAAGATAAAAAGGTATCACTGTAATCACATTTTCACAGTGGGGAAGGCAAAATAATCTCAGACGTGACAAAAGACAAACATCTTTCTGCAGGGAGCCTTTAAATAGTTGATGTCATTCTTTGGAATCGTCTGGCGGAAATGAGTTAGGGAAATGGAAATGGTAAAAGGTAGAAGAACATTTTCATGGGCTTTTAGTCGAATGAAATCTCCTTACACTCGGCAACAAGAAAGTAGGCAATGAAGAAATATTGAGCAGAGAGTCTGGGTCTCTGAGAGTGATGCTGCACTTAGCTGTCCAGGAGTGTTATTGCCTGTTGCAGTAAAGAGAGCTATGGCTTGGAGCTACATGGACACAAAGGATTTTTAAAATGCAAGACAGAAATATTCAACAACAGCGAAATGTTGGAAAAAGTATCACATCCCATCAGGCCTGGGAGCCTGCTGTAACTGTTTGTTTGGAAAACAGGAAACAATATTCATGAGTTAGACTTCACTTGGACCAAATGATAGTCGGAGCATACATTCACACACACTTGGTGTATTGTGTTCATTTGTGCGACGCTGACAAATGTTCCTCCATATTGAACACAGTAACACAAGTTACAAAAGAAGAATACTAGGCTATTTTTGATAGGCATGTGGCGCAGTGGGTAGAGCCTTGGTGTTGGGAACAGGAGGTCACAGGTTCAAACCCCACTGTAGTCAGTATGTCGTTGTGTCCCTGGGCAAGACACTTCATCCCAAATTGCTCCTGTGGGGATTGTCCACAGTATTGAGTATGTAAGTCGCTTTGGATAAAAACGTCTAACAATTATCATGTAATGTAATGTAATTTTTACCAGAAGATATAGACTTGATGAATCAACAATCTATATTTATGTATTGACTTCTCTTCTTTATAATAGCAGAAACTGAAGTGCAGGCATGCAAAACCTGGTTGTTGCTAACGATTAGCTATTAGCCGCTAGTCGTTTCAGGAATACTGTATAACCGTACAGTATTGGATAAATAGCTGTTAGCACAATCAGCTATTGGTCTGACAACAATTTAGCCTCTGGGGCAGGGCTCTCAAACTAAAGGCCCGGGGGCCAAGTCCGGCCCGCGACTTCATTTTATGTGGCCCCGCAAGAGCTTGCAAAGAATATAATACGTTTATTATACGGTTACATGCAACTTTACATAAGCAGCTTGCCCATAAACTACATGTCCCACAATGCATCTCGTTTTGTGACATGCGCACTGAAGAGACTTGCAATTATTTGCCCTGGACTTCTGCTTTCAGACGTAGTTAATTACTAAGTTATTATCCTATCCGATAATAATCCAATTCAGAGGCAATAATATAATACATTATTTTATATATATATATTATATATTTATATAGTTACAACCGACCCTTTGAGTGCAACCTTTATGCGAATGTGGCCCGCGATGAAATTGAGTTTGACACCCCTGCTCTGGGGGCAACAAGTATTTTGGGGTTAGGGTCTATCCTGTGGTTCTAACAATAAGGGAAATTAGGGCCAAGACTTCCTTTACCGTTTTCCTTTACCATTGCTTTCAATCAAATAGCAACTCAAGAATTGTGAATGGAATTGGATTTTAGGGACAATATCTAGGACCAGGTTGCAAATCAGCATTGATGTGCACATATGTGTATATATAGAGTAGAGTATATAGAGTTATTTTTAAAACCATACATTCAAAAGCAACATTTTTGTCGGACGATTTCTGGACTGCTTTGCTGCATGCTTTTGGTCTGCTACTGTGTGCTAATGGGCTAATGCCAAAGGGTTTGTTTAGTCAGCCTACTTGTAATACTAGTGTTTTCCCTCTGTCTATCAGCGGTGATCACTTGACTGCACTTGCTGATCACACACATCTGCATAGTACATGTTCTCCTAAATGTCAGCCACGAAAAACAAATAGATGTCTGACTGGATTCGATGCATGACACACCGTCCCACATGACATTTTCATCACAATGCCCAATTATCAAGATATTTTTGTCTGTTCCTACGTGACAGACTGCTTAGGGAATGTGACAAAGAAGAAGACATTGGTTCCAAAACAAACAAGGATGTGGGTAGATCAGAAATAAGACAAGATAAGATAAGAAGTACTTTATTGATCCCAAGTTGGCACATTTGGCACAATACAAATGAAAAGACTGGAAATAAACATTCCAAAATGTAAATATCTCAATAGAAATAAAATAGCATTTACAGTAAATGAAAACAGTGCATGGATGTGTGGTTCATGTGCTTGGAAGCCAACCAAGAGAGAGTAATGCAGGGTGAAGAGACGGAGTGAACACATGGGTAGCCTTAAAGGTCCCCTATTATACTGTTTTTCATCAATATATTATAGGTCTCAGATATATCCAGAGCCTGTCTCTGATTGGCTGAAACACCAAACAGATCATTGCAGCATTACCCATAATCCCCTCTGTTTCAGCCCTGTTTCCAAAGTGCTGATTCTCTGTCTGTTACTTTAGATGAAAATAAGGAGCCCCTCCCCACGCCTCTCTGAGAGAGATTTGGTTAAAAAGAACTCAATGGTGCTCTAGGAGGAGATTCAGGTGATAAGGGGGGGGGGGGGGGGGGGGAGGGGTTACCTTGGTTGCTGATTGGCTAATGGTTACACAAGCCAAAATGTCGTTATGACATCATAAAGTGGCCAAAATCTGATCAGCTCATTTTCAGACAGGTTTTTATATAAATGGATCAGGACAAAAAGAGAGAGAATCTTTGTTCCTGAAACTTTCAGAGTCTCTTTACACAGAGGGGACACATGTTGATGAAGAAGAGACATGAAGAAGAGGGGACACATGTTGATGTAGAAGAGACATGAAGAAGAGGGGACACATGGTGATGTAGAAGAGACATGAAGAAGAGGGGACACATGGTGATGTAGAAGAGACATGAAGAAGAGGGGACACATGTTGATGTAGAAGAGACATGAAGAAGAGGGGACACATGTTGATGTAGAAGAGACATGAAGAAGAGGGGACACATGTTGATGTAGAAGAGACATGAAGAAGAGGGGACACATGTTGATGTAGAAGAGACATGAAGAAGAGGGGACACATGTTGATGTAGAAGAGACGTGAAGAAGAGGGGACACATGTTGATGTAGAAGAGACATGAACAAGTGGATTTTGCATAATAGGTCCCCTTTAAAGCCCGAGGCCCAGGAGAACCTAATCATCTGAGGACCCCTCCAGTGTCTCCTGCTCACACTCTGTTCTTGTAGAATATTTCTCTACGCTTGCATACTACCTGGCCCCAAGCCTACATGGTAATAATTTAATTAAACATTTTTCAATTTAGAAATGAGCAACATATAAGCACAAAACCGTGAGGGTAATGAGTGTCTGGAGGCTAGATGTGGACACAGGGCTCGAATAAAGCTGAACCCACCTCACGGCTTACATCATGTCAGTTGGTATTCTGCTCTAGTGGTGCATACAGAATTCCCAGCACATTTTATTAGCACAAATTCATTTGATATGCAGTAGGCCTGGATCACCTGGGCCCCAGAGTTATCTCTTTTTTTCATTTGTTTCGTGCATTACTCATCTGCTGCATGGTACGGAGAAAAGAAGACAATAATGATCATTTCTGGACGTTGGATGCACCATAGTTCCAGCGGGAAACAACCTTTGGCTTTGCAGTGTTGTGATTGATCCAAAATTGACCCAAAATCCAAAAGTTATTTGATTTTCACTGCTGGATGTGTTCAAGGAGTTCTGCAGAGGTCCACCTCTTAACCTCATCCTTTAATCAGATAAACAGACTCACTCTATTGTACTCCAGTTGCCCCTTTGGTGTTCAAATCACAAGAGGTTCAGGTTAAACAAGTACAACTATTTCTCTTTTACAAATGCCTGTTCAAAGAAATCTCTAAAACCCTAGTCCACCATGTTGCCTTCCAGCCTACCCTAAGAGTGGAAGATGTCCAAGACAAATCCATGTATTTATAAAATCCTTTGGAAACAAGGATCTGCAGCTCAGGCAAAAGACAGAAAACCAAAATGCATACATTCCCACATGGGTTTATTCGTATGTGTGTGATCTTGCAGGGCAGTTTGAAAGACCTGTGATCCTTCCCCTTGACACCATTTACAATATCTCCTGTCTCTTTATTTCCACAGAACAAGGCAAAGTTCTCAAGGTTCTTCACACCAGCGGGGGGGTCTTCATCATATCTCAGTACTCTCTGTTTCACAACGAGGGCCCCATTCTTAAGATGGCCATCGACTCCCAAAAGGTATGAGGAATAATGTATTACCCTTTGGTAGAGTGTGATTTCAGTGGCCTTCCTGCTTTTAGAATGAATCAAATTAATCTGTATAAATGTGTTTCATCTTTTTGATGCTTCATTCAGAATCCATTGCTCTCATTAGTGGTGGATTGGTCAGATAGTCGCTGTAGTGCAACCTCGATCAACTTTCCATACTTATCACTCCAACTAAATGAGGCAGATTGTATTCAAGTCATGTATAGCCAGGAGGAAACCCAATGAACAATCTATTGGAGAAAGAACGAATCTGAAAAAGGATAGAAGAGCAAATATTGGTCATTATACATTTCTTGCTGAGTTTGGTCATTTAAAGTTATTTTTCATTGAATGGATGGATGTTTATTTTTCCATTAGGTTTGAAACTAGCCTTTTGAAAATGCTACATTTAATTTAGTTATTTCATACGAATAGATGTTGTTCTGTGATGGTTTAAAAGCTGTTTCAGAGGCTCTGCTACCTTTTCAAATAATACAAATCTCAGAAAACATCATGTTATTCATTTCAGAATCAGAAATCAGAAACAGGTTTATTGCCAAGTAGGTTTACACATGCGAAGAATTTGACTGGGTGTGTATGTTGCATTCATAAACAATGTTAAAGAAGTAAGTAATACATATATAAAATCGATTATAAAAAACTATTTAAAAAAAACTATAATGCTTTTAGGATATAGAACATTTTTACATGAAAAAAGAAACTACGTACAGTATACTTATGCAAAGTACTATGTCGATGAAAATCTTAGGTAAAAATAAAACAGATAAACAGATAAAATAGTGCAAGTAAATACAATAAAATAGATTAGAAGTAGTATCTATAAACTCTGACAATAAAACACTATTGAAGGGATAAAAAACACTATTGAAGGGGATAAAAAACCACTAATGAAGGACCCCACATTACAAATGTTATAATAACATTTTGTTCGCAGTCGGTAATGTTAGCAGTTTTGAATAATACACTGCACAACAGTGACTGATTTATTCCAGTTGTGGCGCTCACACAGTCTATTTCGTGTTTTCCTCCTTAGGGTCACATGTACGTCGGCACGGCGATGGAAGTCCAAAGGCTGCCGCTGGCTGACTGCAATCGCTATGGCGACACATGCAGGGATTGCATCCTTTCTCGGGATCCTTACTGCGGCTGGGACAGGGCGAGGAGGAGGTGCCTTGCCATCCCACCCGGATACAACATCACCACTGGGTGAGAGGAGATATGATGTCATCGCTGCAGAGCTATTGTCTGTTTTTGCATGAGCTCGGAAAAAGAAGATGAGAGGGCTTTGTTTAGTGTTGGGAAAATACTGAATGTACTCTTCCAATATCAGAGTACACATGGTAACAAAGGCCCTACGTAGCTGTGTACATGACAGGATGTATGATTACCTAGAAGAGCATCAGGACTGTTTTAGGCATATGATAGCTATGTGATTAACATGATGATTCAGCCTCCATGGAGATAGACATATGACTGTCATGTTTATTGCTTACACAGGCTTTAGCTAATCTGAACTAAACATTGAATACTGCTTTGAACCGGTTTTCCTCCATCTTGTGACTGTAACACCTTCTTGTATATAAGCATGTCAAGGACACTATTCAGGGTACTATTTTGTCCCATGCAGCTCTGTTTGTGATGACTACATCCATTCTTGCAAGGATAATAAATACATGTATCCTGATATTGAAGCTCAAGCCGGTGACGAGTGATATTTTTCTAACATTTAGCATTTTCGTAAACGCTGTGTGAGTACTGGCTGATCTTAGGCATGAATCTGCAAAGAAAAACACATCATGATCTGACTGACATTCATTGACAGTGAGGTGATGAAACTTGCAGTTCAACGAAAAACATGACATTCACAAAAGGCTGCACGTAGAGTTAACACTGTGTTACACTTGGTTTACAAATTACCTTGGCTTTAATTAATGTCGTGCATTTCCAATTTTAGGAGCGACTGTGAAAATCAATCATGTGCTGTAATTAGCCTCTGACTCCTTTGTTGCGTCCGCCCTGACATTGTTGAATGATTTGTCTCTGCATGTTTTAATTTGCGGGGAACAGTAGGTTGATGTGGAGGTTCATAAGCCGTCTGTGAAACTATTTACTGCTGCTGATTTGTCCTCTCTGTTATTTTCCAACAGGACACTTATTCAGAATCTGGATCAGTCCAACTCTTCGGTTTGTGGGGAAGCTGCTGGTGAGCCCTTATCACACTCTCTCTTTGTATCTTAATTAAACCAAAATAGGAATCTTTCTGCAGCAGCTTCAGTAAAAAGATGATTATCATATAATTGAGTCCAAAAACCTGCTGGCTGAGATTTCTATTTTTTTTACATGATGGCTTGCTATGCCTAAAAGCCCAAAACCCAGGTTAACCTCAATTTGCTCATCTCTGTGGGGACAGCTATCTCCGCATTTGTTTCTAGTTGTGTCGCCGATGCTACATGCCCTGCCTGTGACAGTGACATGTCTTTTTCTCCAGAAAATATTACTTAAAGTGGACCTATCATGCTATATTTGAATAATATAGTGTAGGACCATACCTATATAAGGCATATTTATACTTTTTTTTTTTCAAAATACCAAACAGATCATGCATTTTAGCCATGCCTCATTTCGCTCAATTTGACATTTTCTAGCTCTGTTTTAGCAAGGGCTGATTCTGTGAGAACAGCACCACCTACAGGCCTGGCATATGTACTACAGCGTCTCCAGCGCTTTCGAACGGCAATGGCCGTGGCTGTCTCCTCCTGATTGGTGGAGTTGGCCCAATAGCCGTAGCGCCACCGTCCTGACGTCAGGACAGTGTTCAAATCTGGATCAGTTTTTATCAGATCCGTTGCAGCCCCTTTTTTAGAGATTTGGGTATGGAGGAAAATAGAGAGGGTTGTGTTTTCTGACACTTGGTGAGTTCCCTGGAACACCGGGGACACATATTCATGTATAAGAGACGTACAAAAGTGCATTTTGCATGATAGGTCCCCTTTAAAGATGAGAAGCAATGTGTTTTATTTAGTGCTCTCATTCGATACAAAATTGTAATCGTAATTGTGATCCTCCCAATGATTTTCTGTGATTAATCATGATTGATAATGATTGATCACAAGTTTAAAATACTAGTATTATATGTATTTCAACTCCATGTGTGGTGTTTTAATACATTTTCTTTTAATGCGTTAAAGTTTCCAGATTATAGAGAGCGTTAATGCTAAAACGTTGACAGCTCTTAATCATTAGCTGATATCTTGGAGAAATATATAATAAAAAACAACTGAACAATTCATACAGCTTATTGGTGATTGACAATAAACATTTACACTTGCAATAAGAAAGGATAAAGAATATATTAAAACATCTAAATGTTTCCGTCCCTACAGCTCTGAAGCAGCGTCGCACTTCTCCCAGAGAGGTGCTGGTGGTGTCCAACACCTCCATCTTTCTCCCGTGCCCGGTGCGCTCCTTCCACGCTACGTACCGCTGGGAGAAAGACAACTGTGTCAAGAACTATCCCTGCCTCTTCTCCGGGGATTTCTGCGTGCTGGGGCCGGCTGTCAGAACGCCCCTGAAGGATGGCGTCTTCCGCTGCATGGCCACCGAAGACGGATTCAAGGTGGAGGTCATCTCCTTCAGGCTGGTGAACGACGGCAGGCTCCTGGCCGCCTCCCTGGCCTCCACCTTGGGCCCGTCGCTCCTGCTAGCCATGGCTACCCTGTGGCTCCATTAACTGCAGCTACCGCTAATGCTAACCCCTCATCCTTACTGGCTCCCAATGACAGGAATACAAGGAGCCTCTGTTAGGAGGTTAGGTTCGCAGAGCATTGAAGTACATGGTTGTGTTGGACCGTGAAAACCCTTTTTCCATATCAATTTATAGAGAAAGATTCCAGAAAAGTCTGTATTTTTTGCATAAAGCAACATATCAGCAGCTGTTTTAATAAGATCCGAACTGGGAAACACATTCATTATCATAGTAAAGTAACTAGAAGTTCAGAAATTGAAATATCTTGCAAGTTCGATCAACCGTAGTTAGGTGCTTTGCGAACCTTTCCTCTCTGACTGAAAACATATCGTATGAGTCGGGCAAAAACACCAATACCAGGCCAATTATTTTTACCATTTCTCTACTTTATTTGAAATCGACTTGACTGTGCTTATTTGTGAATATATAAACCTTTAATACCGCTCTTAAATCTTATCATCTTGTTAGACTTCATTGGTATAGCTCATTAGTACGTAGAAAAATGTCTGGTATTGAGATTTGAAAAGCCTTAACACTTCTTGGACATTAACTCCTAAGCACAATTTTGCAGTCGACGCAGACTTGGCGCTATGATTATTGCGGCTGAGTCGAACAACATCGCTGGGAGGAAGTGTCAGCTTTTTGACAGGAAGTAGGAAGATGGGCAAAAGCTCATTCTCGGAACATCACTGTGTCTCAGCACCTCCTCCTCAGACGAGGCAGTACCTTGCATCTTTTTATTAGATGGTATCAGACATCGTCATTACGCCTTGTTCACAGCTTTGTCCATTGTTTAGTTTTTTACATTCTGTCGTCTTGCCGCCTCTCCGGAGCATCAGAAACAAAGAAATCGCTCTTAACATGATGTGAAAAACACAACATGGCAACATGACCCGGGGAGAGGGACAAACAGCTAACTGACGTCCAATATCTGTCAACCCGACAATGTATAAAGATGTGAACAAGGTGTTGTGCTATAGCAATTTCAATAAACACACATTGACATAAACATAAGGGCAGATGAAACTAAAAGGAACTGCTTATTAAGCGTGTATTTTATAGTTTGCTTGGAGAAAAAAAAGGCTTGTTCTTAGATACGTGAAGTGTGTTCTGTATTTTATTGCTCTGCAGATGCTGATTTCTACCATTGCTGCCTACGTAAGTGATTGTTTGGGTTTTAATGCCATAGTTAGAACGTGAAGTGTAACCACCGACTGCTTTGCCTCTTTCCCCAGGGACATCAGTGCAAATAGACCGGAAAATGGTGATTTTGGTAATACTTGTATCTCTATGCTGTGAAACAAAAGGCTTGACAGACTCCAACAAGTTGCTTCCCTGATGTACAGCAGCATCCACAACCGGCGGCGACAACGATAGCTAGCATCACGCTACCTCTCGTTTAATAACACAAACTTCATTAAGACCAAGAAGACAGTTGAAGCTGAGTGTTTAGAAGAAAAAAAGATGTGAGTTAAGTAGCCCTAAAATCCTAAAAAGTAAACGTTGAATGAATACTGATCAGCTGACTGAAGAAGTAGGCTTCAGCGGTGATGAATTATGCAGCGGATTAGCATGTTCTCCAGAGCTTTGAGAATTATCATTCAGTAGTGTTACATAAATCTGGCCGTGCCGAGCCTTCCTCAGTGGCAGACATGTCATTAATAGCTAATTAGACAATGGAGCCTGCTCGCCATGCACCTTATTAAAGAATTGATGTTACACCGTCGAGCAGCGGGCATGTTCTCAGCTGTGAAAACCTCGAGGTGGTGTCGTGATACTCTCTCAGCTCGGTTGTGTGTTGCTGCTCGGGGATCTGCTCGCTTTCTGTAATGCACTGAAACTGGCTTCTCACTGTGCCAATAAAAGACAAAAAGAAAAAACAAAGCTATGTTGAGCCACCTTATCCTCCCGACGTCGCTTCTTATGTTCATTTGCTTCATCCCTCGCTCCTTACCTGCCGTTTTATCTTTTCCCCCAAAGTGACTCTGTGTATGTGTTCAACATTGGTCCTTTCTTAAGCCAGACACACAAACCTTCTGTCGGTGCAACATGCATATTAATCATCTTTGTGTCACCACCTGGGAGGGAAACTATCAACAGCCAACGGCCAAGAGCTGGTAAACATTTAGTAGAGGCTGTTAGAGAGGCTGTTAGACACCTTTGGCAGTACAATAACTCCAGATTCATAGACATGCTCATTACATAGTCCTGTTAAACCTCCTTTATCCGTTAAAATAACTGCCGAGTAAGTGTCGTTGTGATTCAATAGCGAAGGCGAGCCACTTTGAGAGGAGAGGAAAATTGCATCTAATGCCAACAAGGCATTGGTGGAAGTTCCAAGAAAGTAGTAGTGCTGCAACATGCATACATTAACAGTGGGTGGATGATGGGTGGGGTACAAAGCATCTGACTTTGAGCTCATTCTCCTCCCCTAACCCTAACCCTAACCCTCACCCTAACCCTCACCCTAACCCTCACCCTAACACTGAGCCTATCGCTGCATTCACATGAGACGGGTCAAATAGCTCTGCGCTGTTGTTGCCGTTGTGTTTTGAATGGAGAAAGCAAAGCAGCCTGACTTTCGTAAACCTTCAGCGTTGTGCACCCCGCTCAAGTTCATATTATTCCAACTTTGACATAGTTACCGCTGACCTTACGACGCGCAACCACTCAGATGACAGCTTTGTCAACAACCCAAGTTAGCAGGGGACGTAACAATAGAAACAAAACCTATATGGCTGTTTTCATAGCATGGCGCCAAAACCTTGCGGTGAGCAAATCACGTATAATGTGAATGCAGCCTAACCCTAAACATAAATGTGTTCTTTACTTCACCCTAACTAAGTACTTTTAGTTGCCGAAACGTAAGTACACATTAAGGATAGAGATGATCATCATTTTGCAGATGCATATTGTACAAAAGAGCATGTCTATGTTAGTCTTGGTTGCAGGGTTTGTTTTCAGAGTGTTGCTGTGCAGAGCTGATTGCATTTCTTCGTGAGGAGCGGCGCTGCAGGCAGGTGAAATCAGGCTTTCATCATCCCGCTCTTTCCTAAGTCATCACGCTCAACACCACAAGGCTTTGCTTTAGTATCAACACTTTTCCAGCTAATGCGTGGAATTAAGATTTATAGCATTTACAGCATTTACCAACAGTTGCCGTTTTTTTTCCAAATCTCCCCCGTTCAAGTCCTTGCTTTGATATGGATATTCTCACAGTCGTTTTTTATCGGAATCCGGTTATCGCTCCTTCGCAACCGCCATCGTCAGCCAGTCCGAAAAGGCTAATCTCCTTCAAAGCAAGCTCTTGATTTTGCCTTCAGGAAACCAATTTAATGGATCAAGCTATCTGATGTAAACGAATCAACGTTGAGTGAAGCGGGTCGCTGTTTTGTTTGCTCTGGGGTTTTTGAGTGTCGAGTACTGTACATGATGTGTGCCCGCAATTATGTGTCTTGATATATCTTATTTTAAAGGAACATGCCAAACTCTATTATTGAAAAAAAAGAGATTTATATTGGTACCATGCCAGTCTAATGCCATCTCATTACATGTATTTTTAAAAAAAACAGATATCTACAGTGCAATAGATATTCATGTAACAAATCCATATTGACATGTGTTTCCCTGAACATGTGCGGTGAAAATTAATAAAATATAACTACAACAAAATGGTTTACTGTGTTTATTTGAAGGAAACTACTCGTATTTACCTTTTAATAGCAATCTATCAAGGTATTCAATTACATCTTTAAGGAAATATTCAATGTATTGCAGTATATTAACAGCTTTTTGAAAGGTGAATAATCCACTATTCAATTTATGCCTTACAAGGGCATTCATTTTACAATTATTTTTTTAGGGTATTAATTGTATTATAAGGGAAGTTGCTCTTTAAAATAAATTAAATTATCCATGCAATGCAAAACATTAATACATTAAACTAAAATGTATTATTAATGTATTTTGTATAAATATAATAATAATAAATACATTGAAATATAATTGTATTTTTAAAATATGTATTATTAATAAACTGAAAACAAATGGATGCGTCAATATTCTAATAAATATATGAATTACATATATTTAATTTGTTAAATTTGACCCCAGTAGTTTGAAACTCAAGACAATGATCATATTCCAAATGTTAACCAACATGTATGTCTCTGGTGCTTTAGGTATCTTAGTTGACTACCTAAATAACCATTTAAATAAAACATTACCCCAACCTTCCCACCTTCAGACCCCTTTATACATCCAGAATTTATATTAAGTGACTATCGAAAAATATATAAATCACCATAAAATCTCACTGACAGAAATAAAATGTTAAAGTAAGATCTTTTTGATGTTGTTAAAGGACCAATAACTAAAGCAGAGGGTAGTTTTTACATTGATATATTTGCATGTAATAGTCACCTCAATATCATCCTACACAATCAACACAAATATGTGTAAAATGTTGACATTTGTATATGTGTTATACTACTAAAACAACCAGGGGTCAAATTGACCCCAAGGAACACCGATGCGTACAAAGTGCGTTCAGGACATTTAAAAAAGATCTTCATGTTCATTTTATGTTTACCCATTAGTCCTCACTAAATTAGGAAAAGTCATGAAATACTAAGCAAAAAAAATAACGTGAACCATTTTTTTAGATACGTCAAACATTGAATGGGGTCAAATTGACCCCAAGGATAACAGGAGGGTTAAGGGTTCTTGCCTTTTCAAATGAACGTTTTGATAATGATAAGAAGGTGCATTTAGACTCTTAAACAATATTATGGAAATCTGCAGGAAATCACAAAATGGAGGACAAGCAGGTTGCATCACCATCTGCTGGACAACATTTGGTGAATTGACAAGTCGATTCAGAATATAAAATCCACAGACAAACCCTGCGTAGTTATTCCTTAAACCATAAGAAAACTCTAGATTTTGCTTTTGAAATAAAGTTTTAGAAACACACAGCGAATACACAATCAGTGTTCCAGTATTAACATTATCTCTTCAGGGTTTTGACAGATGAGAGCTTGGAGTATTTTAATTTAATTTATTTAGCTGAGAAGGTTTTTCTGAATGCTGAAAAATATTGATTCATAGTCGATAGTTTCACATAAACCATTTGGTATCAGCTCTAACCATAGCTCAATTTCTTACTTGTTTTCTTAGGGTGTGAAGTGAAAATCGATTCCAGTCTTGCATAATGCGTTTCAGATCCTTTAACGGTAAAAGCAGCAGGCAATCAATTCCTGAGCTTTTTACTCAGGAACAAATAATCGCTTTTATTTTATTGAAGACTATATGAGTTTCTATCTCACTCTGCAAGCCCAACAAATGTCTGCTTATCAACTCTTTTCATATTTACTGGCTGAAATTAGCGCTATGGAAGCCATTAAATATAATTCCTCCTTTCTTTTTCAATTGGTTTGGCACATCCATTCTTCTGCAGTTATCTGCAACAAACACACACACACACACACACACACACACACACACACACACACACACACACACACACACACACACACACACACACACACACACACACACACACACACACACACACACACACACACACACACTGTCTTTTGTATAAAAAACAAAGACATATCCAGCAAAGAAGTTCCCATGGCAATCTTCTCAGTGTTTGCGCTGGAAGGAAAACAGACACAGAAATAGATTTTAAACCGAGCATGCTAAGAAAAGTCAATAAAACCATATTCCAATTATTCCCAGATGCTATGTCCCGAGCCAATGATGTAATGTGAGCATGAGAAATAAAACAATCTTATAATGTTGCAAAGGGTACACCCAAATATATCAACACGTCTCACTTCCCTTTTCTTGCGGTTTTGCCAATTGTGTTGTGAAAAGATCTTAACCCGGCGAAATAAAGTCATTATCAACGGTAGGAAACTTGCTGCAAAATATTCTGGGGTCAGGGTTAGGGTTAAGAAACTCCCTTTGGAGGGAACACAGGGATTTTAGCCTTTGCAGACCATTTACATGCACAAACGACTAAATATATAACACACTAAAAGAAAGGGTAAACCCCAAAAAGCACAACAGGGCCTCTTTAAGCGTCTTAGACAATAACTAGTTGGGGACTGAGTAGATGTGCTCAGGTTAAAGTAACATGAATTGATGCAGAAACTTTGACATAACATAAGCCCCCCTTCATCAAGTTTGTTAATGTCAGACCAGTCACATGACCTTATCGAGTGTGGTGCTTAAGGGTTCTGTAAGGGCACATGATTGCAAGGAAATAAATACCTGATACAATACAAATATTCAAAAAAACCTCAGGTACAGTACTGTATGTGAAAATTGCAGAGACATAGACAGCTTCCATATTCTCAAAAGATGATGTTCTCCTGCTTGACTGCCAGCTGTCCAGGGTATTTTATGAACAACGACACACAGGAAACATTCAATCATTATTTAGGATGATCTGGAGGTGCCACCTTTTCTACAATCAGCACTTTTTTAAAGCCCATTTGTTAAGTGGACAGTAAGTATTCATATGAGTATGGGGTAAATGTACATATAAAATGGACGTTATATAATTTGTCAATTTCTTCTCTTTATTCCACCATCTATCATTTACTTGCACCGTTCAGACATGTTGCTTTTTTTAGATGTCAATTGTTTATCTTGCAATCACTCATGTTGTCAAGTTCATTTCCCTTCATTTTATTGAGTTAAAGGGAAAACTTCATCTCAAAACCTTAACAGATGAAACCAAGTTTATCTGAATGGCGGCCCAGAATTAGTCAAAAACAGTCTTGACTCTACACTCTGACAGTCAACTGAGAAGATGTCAGATTTTTTTTAAACTTTTGGCGCTTGTCAGGCAGAAGAAAATCTTCCACTGACATTTCACATTCCTGAGCGGCACACACACACACACGCACACGCATGCGCGCACACACACACACACACACACACACACACACACACACACACACACACACACACACACACACACACACACACACACACACCACACACACACACACACACACACACCCACTTGGTAAAGTGAGAGTGGGCGGGCAGACAGAGAGAAAATAACTGAGCTCAGTTACAACAAGCTAACTCATCCAGTGTTGAGTCAATTCTTCCCTGGGTGTCTGACACACAGGTTCAAATGCTTTGGGAAAGTCAAACTGGTGAAGAAGTGTTATCCGACCGCCTAACTCAAGGTGAGTTGAAAGATTTATTACCAAATGTGTTTTTTTAATATCCAATGTTTTGCTTCTAGGCAAGTTTATTGCAGTTTGAATTATGTTGCTGTGAGAACTTTAGGAGGATCTTAAGGAAATACTGGCAACATTCACAAAGTTAGCTCACACGTCTATTCAGTCATTGAGGACAAAGTATCCAAAAATGTTGAGCTGAAAAACAAAAGGGTGTTCAAAACAAATTAGGAATCATCACAGAGAGGCAGTGACGAAACAAACTTGCATGGACAGGCTTATAGGTAGGGTAGGTTTTAAAATAGGGTAAAATTGCACACATCACAAGTTAAAAATAAACAATAAGAAATTCCCCTCGGATCAGATGTTAAGACCTTTACAGATACATCCAGCATAGCAACAACATATTACATTTTAATAGGTTAAGAGATACATGGAGGTAACAGGTATGATAAAAAATAAAATACAATAAAATAAGAGACTAAGTGAATTGATGCAACAATATGAAACCCTATAAAATAAATTAAACATATAGGTACAACAAACATAAAAAGATAATAGTAATAAAAATGTCTAATAGGTTAAAAGATTAAAGGACCATCTTAAGAGGACATTTATCTATTAAAACTGTTAAATAAATAATAGATAAAACCCTTTAAGACCTGAAATGACAACGGAAAAAAACTGAGTGCAAGGAAAACATAATCCCAGACTCAGAGCGTGACACATTCACGACTCATTCATTGTTTTTCTGTCCATGACTGAAGTGGATCGGTAGGTTAAGAAGGTGTTATTGTTCATTGATGCCACTGTGAGCAGAGATATAGGTATCAGGGGAAAAAAGAGTGATTCATCCCTGGAGAGAAATCTCCCTTAGAAATCAATGTTTTTCTTCCAAGCTATTTTTATAGTGTCATGTCAAAGTGTTTTTGGATAAACTAACTATTGGTTGATTCTTTCAGGCTTCACTAGTTTCAGTGTCCGTTTTTAAACACCTTAATTCTCCCTAATTTAACCACAGTCTTACCTGTTGCCTCATTTATTTTCCCCACTCAGGTTTATGTTGTTGGTTCAGTCGCAGCTTTGTCACAAATAAAACATGTCATTTGGGTAAACATGTAGGCTCTGATAGCTGGTGCTATTTTATATTTGTATGTGGTGTGGTAATAGCATTGTTGGGTGTTTGTTCATACGGTAACTCCGAAATACCTTGACAAATAGTGGACAGATTGCCGGACATTTTGTACAGACATAGAATAAATTGCAATAATTAGCAAGGCAAGGCAAGGCAAGACAAGACAAGACAAGGCAAGGCAAGGCAAGACAAGACAAGGCAAGACAAGACAAGGCAAGTTTATTTATATTGCACCTTTCAACACAAGGCAATTCAAAGTGCTTTACAAAAATGAAAGACATTCAGAAAATGGCATTTAAAAACAATCCCTTAGCGATCCCTTAAGTTTTTAATCTGGCATCATCACCCCGTAAATGTTTCAATTATTTACACACACACCTTATATCAATCCTAAACCCCCTTCCAAGCATAAAGGAGGCTTTTTAGGACATTATGTCACTAACACTATCACCAACCCCACTTATTTTAATGGATATTCATCTATTTATTGTTAATACTACCATCAACACTATAGTATCATGCACTATCATGACATTGTATTGGCCTACACGCCAGCAGAAGAACAATCCACTTAGCACTTTCATTATGACTGCCACTTTTTAATGATAAAGTCTAAAAGTCACTGTGTGTAAACGGTATGTTGTGTTGTAAATCTTATTTTATGAAAATTAAATGGACAATAAAGTAATCTGAATCTGAATCATAGACGAAATGCTTGTAAAACTAATGACATCCCATTACTTTGGCTAATGTTACATTATATTAAAACTTGTCCATGTTCTACATATCTGTCTCTGCTCCTGTTGAAAATGTTAATTTTCATCAACTTTCTAACAAGTAATTGTTCCAATCAACACTGCATGTCCTGCTGTTCATCCAGAATAATCCGGAAACAGGGTTTTCTGTTTTAAAAACACCAATATAACGGACAAGAAATTAATTCTTTATCATAAATCTCGGAGATGGTCATAGCAAAACCTGGACAAATAACAGCTGTCTGAGAGATAGATAGATAGATAGATAGCACTTTCATTATGACTGCCACTTTTTAATGATAAAGTCTAAAAGTCACCGTGTGTAAACGGTATGTTGTGTTGTAAATCTTATTTTATGAAAATTAAATGGACAATAAAGTAATCTGAATCTGAATCATAGACGAAATGCTTGTAAAACTAATGATATCCCATTACTTTGGCTAATGTTACATTATATTAAAACCAAATTGATGGTTTGGCAATCATAACAGGATTTAAGGATGATATTATGAAGATAAATGTACACCAGTGTTATCTTCTAACACAACCCTCTCTTAATGGGCCTGCTTAATGGTTGGCACCTGTGAATCTCCAACGGTGAAATATGTCATTTCAGGCAGTTTTGCGCAGCTGTTACTGCCTTACTGATAATGTGTGTGGTGTTTCTTCTACAGCACTTACAAACACTGTACCAGTGTTTGGGAGGATACACCCTTTTCAATTCTCTGTGGGATTTATTTACAGTGAGTCAAGTTTAGCGAACGCTCCAGTGGTTTCTTTGTGGATTTGTTAGTAAACTGAAGTCACAAGATCCCTGCTGCTGTTTGCCCTCTTAGATCTTGTCCAAAGTGTTTACATGGTGTTAGAAATCGAGTTCCTTTACTTCTTATATTTATTTAGGCAGGCAGGCAGGCAGGCAGGCAGGCAGGCAGGCAGGCAGGCAGGCAGGCAGGCAGGCAGGCAGGCAGGCAGGCAGGCAGGCAGGCAGGCAGGCAGGCAGGCAGGCAGGCAGGCAGGCAGGCAGGCAGGCAGGCAGGCAGGCAGGCAGGCAGGCAGGCAGGCAGGTAGGCAGGTAGGCAGGTAGGCAGGTAGAGGTAGGTAGGTAGGTAGGTAGGTAGGTAGGTAGGTAGGTAGGTAGGTAGGTAGGTAGGTAGGTAGGTAGGTAGGTAGGTAGGTAGGTAGGTAGGTAGGTAGGTAGGTAGGTAGGTAGGTAGGTAGGTAGGTAGGTAGGTAGGTAGGTAGGTAGGTAGGTAGGTAGGTAGGTAGGTAGGTAGGTAGGTAGGTAGGTAGGTAGGTAGGTAGGTAGCGCGTGGCGTAGTGGCGTAGTGCGTAGGTGTTCGGATCAGGGGAGCACAGGTTCAAACCCCACTGCAGTCAGCATGTCGTTGTGTCCCTGGGCAAGACAATTCACCCCAAATTGCTCCTGTGGGGATTGTCCACAGTATTGAGTATGTAAGTCGCTTTGGATAAAAGCGACTAACAAGTAACATGTAATGTAATAGATAGATAGTGTCGTAGCAGCTTTAAAATCAGCTGTGGTCTAGAGAGAATAATCAGTTAGGTAACAAACGTACAGCAACACAATATTCGTATTAAAAGCAATAAAGATCTTTATACTTGCAAGTATGACGTCTCCTCCAACGGAGAACGCACTGTTCTGAGTGAAACAGGCTCTCTTTATAAGAGGACATCACAAAGCAGATTTACATTACAACAACATTCTGGGAGGCAGATTCTGATATAGCGGATATTTGTTAAGATCCACATGTCACGGATAGGATCATATTCTGTGCTAAATAAGAGACATGTAATCATTTACAAAACATCACCATGTTTTTATTTAACAAAATAATGTTGTTTAATCCACGTGAGCGTACTACAACCATACACAAACAATCGGTTTGTTTTTTTATCAGGAAATCCAGCCCGGCTCAAACAAACAATTTTTAATCATCATCCTCACGATCATTTAATGTATCATATGTTCGCCAAATTGACACTAACAATCATGAATTTGCCGTAGTCAACTTAATTAAAACTTTATTAACGTGCCTAAACTCAGTAATTTACTAAAAATAGGTTTATTTTTAATGGGGCCTCGTCATCTCAGCTGTGCACCGTTATGGTGTAAATATAACCTATCTACCAATTGGATCAAATATAAAAGTCAGCCGAATTAGTATTGATACTGCAAGGAGACGTATTGTGTGAAAAGAAATCTAAGATGTTGTTTAATTGCTGATATATTTATGATCCACGTCACGTTTTCAGTTTTGGCGGCAGTGCTTCCTGTTTGTCCAGAAGTCTTCTCATCAGGGCTCTATAAATACAGAACTATGGCAGATATGTACTATTTAATGCAGCCGAACCGTGTATTACAATGCCGTTATGTGATGACTTTCAAAGAGAAAAGCAAGCACACTCGGAATAAAGTATTATTTTATTTAAAACATTTTTTTTCGGATTTCACATCGCATAAACACCATTTCCCAACGTGCATTGCGGCTAAACCATCGAATCACCGAGCTGAGGACCTTGCCTACGTCTGTTTCCGGTATTTTTTATGACGGATGTATTTTGTTATACACACATTCCTTCACATTTAAATTTAAATTTACATTAAAGTATTTCGTGAGGCCTTCTAAAATATTTTTAAATATAACTACGGTTCTAGTTGAAGAGTTTGTACATTAACATGAACCGAAGCTGTTGCCTGGCAACGCAATCGCACAACGTCACGTCCGTTAATTCCACATCCACACCTTTATATACACAGTCTATGATCCACACACATGGATTAACATCGATTTAATACATTAATGTAGCCTTTGTTTCTGCTAAAAGAGGTGTCGACCAGCTGGGGCAACAAGAAAATCGGCGAAATCGAGTGTGACTATTAAACAATAAATCATTATTATATTAATATTGACAATAACAACCGACCGTCGGGGTAGCATTTGCTTGGCATTTCCGGGTATATCTCCACTGGTTGGGCCATGTTAACAATACCGTGTAACTGTCACGTTTGAAGGGACGAAATTGTGACATCTTCACGTCTCCCAGCATGGTAAATCGTCACATGTTCACGTCTTGCCGTGATACCGGGTTGGATATTA